CATTGAGGAAGAGTCTGGGCTACATAGTGAGTTGCAGGCCTAGCCTGAACTACACAGTGACCTGTAAAAACAAAGCGTACAAGTGAAGCACGCCAGTCACAAAAGCACATATGCTGTATGACTCGATCTACATGAAATATCTAGAGACTTAGTGACTGCTGGTGGGTAAGGGGTTTCTTTCTGGCATGAAGAAAATGGATTGCAGTAGAGGCTGCTCAACTCTTGAGAATACATTAAGATCAGTTGATTTTTACAACCACAGGCTTTTGTTTTGTTTCATTGGCTTTGAGACAGTCTCATTTAGTCCAAGTTGGCCCTGAATTCTACTTATCAAGTGCTGGATTATAATGCAGGGATTATTGTCTCTTTTCCTTCTTGGGATTACTTTTAAAAGGGTAACCTGTACGGTAGACAAATAATATTTCAACAAAGTTGTTTTGAGATAGGATTTCTATATATAGCCCAAGCTGGCCTTAAACTCAAGATCCTCTTGCCTAAGTATCTCAATTGCTATGATTACAAGTATGCACCACTGTGCCTGCCTTCAATAAAATAATTGTATAATAATGAGAGAGAAATGTGAAGATGTGAATGAACAAAGAGTGAACCTAACCAGGCACGATGGTCCACGCCTGGAATCCCAGCACTTGGGAAGAGGAAGCAGGGGGACTGCTGTTAAAGACAAGCCTGGGCTGGCGAGTGGCACTCCATCTCAAAACACAGCAAAAAAGCAAACCTCTTCCATTTAGAACACTAAAATACTTAAGATGGATCACAGATAGACCAATGTGAAAACCCAAAACCAGAAAGCAGCGTATCCTGCTGGGGGTGATCTGTGGCTGTAATTCCAGCACCTGGGAGGTAAAGGCAGGAAGACTTGAGAAGTTTAAAGTCATTGTTTTCAACATAGTGAGTTTGAGGCCAGCCTGGGGTACACAAGACCCTGTAAAGAAACCAGAGCATCTTTACTACTTTAAGGGTAGGTCCAAATTTCTTGGTCAGGATGCAAGAGACATTAATTGTAAAAAAGAACAGCATTCCATTTCAAGATATAGGTTAATGATGGGACCAACAAGATGGTTCAGCAGGTAAAGGTACTTGCTGCCAAGTTTGATGATCCACATGCTGGAGAGGACCAACTCTTACAGGTTGTCCTGTGACTTCCACACATGCATCATGGCACACGGGTCCTATACACTCACAAAATAAATAAATGTAAAAATTCTATTTTCAAGATACAGGCTGATGATTTTGCTCCAAAAGAAATTCTAGAGTACTATAATGCATGCACTTACAACTATGTGCCACTTTGGATTATTCGAACCTCTATTACTTCATTACCATTAACTAGCAAAACAAAACTAACTGACAGAAGTCTGTGGAGACCGACTCAGCTGTGAAGTACTCACCGTGCAAACATGAAGACCAGTGTTTGATCCCCAGCACCCATAGAAAAGTCAGACTAATCTCAGAGCCAGGGAAGAGGAGACAGGAGAATCCCTGGGGCTCAGAGATTAACTAGTCAGCCTTACTGACTGAGTTCAGGGAACTCCAAGCTTAGTGAGCAACCCTGTCTGAATGAATGAATGAATGAATGAATGAATGAATGAATGAATGAATGAATGAAAATAAGGTAGAACCCATGGTGGTGCTGCACACCATTAATCCCAGCACTCCAGAGGCAGAGGCAAGAGGATCAATGTGACTTTGAGGCCAACCTGGTCTATATAGTGAGTTCCAGGACAGCCTGTGCTATATAGAGAGAGACCTAGTTCTCTCAAAAGGCAACTGGCTTCCACACAAATGTGAGTATATATACATACATATACACTTCCTACTGGAGTCAGATAGATAAAAGAGTGTACTCAGATTTAATTGTTTTTAATAGTTAGCAAACAGAATTTGATTCTACAATTTTAATATCTAGCCGGCAAATGGACAATCACAATTAAATAATATTTCTGTTTTCTATATTGTCTTCCTTTCAATATGATTTTACACTTATTTTTCCTTTCTATATGATTTTACACTTAACGATTTTTAAAGGATTTGACATAAAACCATGAAGAGCAGACAGATGTAATTCAAATGCCAACAAGGCATTGCTTTGGCTACGATTATAGCTAACAGTTCTAATCAGGAAAATGGAGCACTTGGGAGGCTGAGTGTAAAAGGCTGCCTTAGTGAGCAAATGACCCATTCATGCATTGTGAGTTCCAGCCAGACTGGGCTACAGAGAAAAACACATGACAAACAAAACAAAGCAAAATTTCCTGAGAGGTGGCTCATGCTAGCACTCTGGAGGAAAAGGCAGGAAGTTCATGAATTTGGGGCTAAACAATAACAGCAGGGTACAGACTGCCACAGAACACTGTTAAACCCATTCTCTCCCACAGTCTCTGCGTCTTTCATCCTCTCCCCTCTCTGTTGATCCCTATCCCAGTTACACATTTACACCAGCAGACCCGCCCCTGCTGATAACAGTGCTTGGAGCTAGTTGATCTTCCTGTGTCCAGCTCACCTTCAATTCCAAATAAATGGACAAAATTGCACGTACTCTATGCATACACCACAGACACTCCAACACCACAGAAACAGATGATCTGGGAGAACTGATGACTAGTACAGGCCTCCAATTTACAAGGTACTTTAAAATACCTTTAGAATTATCTTCCCATCTTGGTTTTCAGAGTGTGACTTCTACCAACTTTGAGATATCCAAATTCCAGGTTTCACTTCAAAATGAACAGGTATGGTGATTTATGCATGCTACGTTCAAAAAGTACTGTCCCTACATGATATAGGCCCTTAGGCCCTTTCTGTTGTACTGACCCGTTGTTTAAACAAGCCAGTAGATGAGAGTTAAAAATTGTCTTTTGTGGGCTGGAGAGAGGGCTCAGAGGTTAAGAGCACTGTACTGCTCTTCCAGAGGTCCTGAGTTCAACTCCCAGCAACTACATAGTGGCTCCCAAACATCTGTAATGATCTGGTGCCCTCTCCTCTCTGATGCACTGTCTGTCATCCAGTCACACATGCGACTAGAGCACTCATATAAATAAATCTTTTTTTTAAAAATTTGTCTTTTGGCTCTCGTGGTGCTGGAATCAAACCCATGTCCTTACACTTGCTGGGCAAGCATTTAACTATTGAACTATAGCCCCAGCCTGGAAAAAAAAATTGCGATTACACTGAAAATCAATAGAAGTGATAGGATCTGACCTATAACTATTTAATGTCAGCCTCTAAGTACTTAATATCGGGCAAAATATGGCTTAGTGATCTACCACAAAAATGAAAGAAAATTTAGCTACATGGTGGTAATATCCTCAAGAACTCACCTTTGTTCACTCTTGCCTAGCACAGGGGTTGGAATGATACACATTTCTTAATAATTACTGAAGGAGGGACAAGGGATATGGTTCAGCAGATGCGACTCAGGGAGTCATGACATTAACTTCCAGGCTTCCTCATGCATGTTCACACATGTGTGAACACACATGAACATGCATTGACCCAACTTCACAGAACACATACATTCCATAGAAGGCTAGGATAATCATGGGGTTACCTGGCCACCATCAATCTCCTTCTAAAAAAAAAAAAAACTAGAAATGCAAGGCAAGAAAGTTCTAAGATGTGGAATACAATGGGATGCACACTACAGAGCCAGAGGTGGGATTCTAACTGTAACTGTGGCTTTTTTTTTTAATTCTACTTATGTGTATGTGTGTGCCAGCTTGTCTGTATGCATACCATGTGTACAGTGCTTGTAGAGACCAGAAGAGGGTACCAGATGTAACTAGAGTTACAGATGGTTGTAGGCTCTTATATGGGGTACTGGGGACTAAATCCACGTCCTTTGGAAGATCAACATGTCTTAACCTCTGAGACATCTCTCCAGACCCTAACTGTGGCTCTTAAAGACTTACTGGTCCTGCCTGTAATTCCAGTACTGGGAAGCTGAGGCAGGAAAAGAACAAGCTAAAGGCCAGCCTGCACTAGGTAGTGAGACTGGCTCAAAAGACCAAAAAGAGGTGTATGCATGTGTGGCAGGACTGGGAAGAGGCAACAAAAAGGAGACCGAGCAAAGCTATTTTCCTAAAATACCAACAGGTCGATTGATTAATCAATTTAATCTGCCAAAAAACTATTCTGAAGTATTCTCAGAAAAAGAACGAACTGCACAAAAATGTCAGAAACCAAAGAAGACTGCACATAGCTAAAAGATCTCCGCAGGCTCATTTCCTGTTTAAGTATGACCTCTTGGGATAAGTTTTACTGCCGTGTTCATTACTAAATAGATGACTGTGGGTTTTAAGGGAAGCAGAGGGCAAGTTGGAAATTCGATTCTTAGTTAAACATGAAAGAAGACACGGGGGGGGGGTGCCTAAAAACAGAAACGCGGGGTGGGGTGGGGGGTTTCGAAAGGGTAAAGGAGATTCTTGAACGCGAATGAGAAGACGAGAAAACAGAGGGGAAGGAAACGAGAAGAAAAGGAAAGTAAAAACTGGGGCTGTTTCCCATATCTGTTTGTAACCAGAATGCAGGCTTGCGGAGGAAGCACATCAACTTCTGTAAGCGCAAATATAGCGACCCAGTCACGTCCTCAAAACAAACCCGCATCAGCTTCACAGCCGGCCCCAGCTGTGCTGCACGGGAGCCAGAAATTGATTCCAAGGCAGAGCAGAGAACATAGATCAAAATGGCCAATGCAAGACGGCCAGATTTCAATCGCGAAAAGGGTGTGTCCCAAATTCTGTGGGTTCCCTCTCAGCCAGGACAGCGAGAAGATGGCTGGGGTGGAGGGGCTGCGGGGAGAGGCACTTCCCAGACGACTTCCCCAGCCCAAGCAGATTCCAGAGCATCAGCCGGTCCCAAAGCCAGACGGGTCGGTCCCGAACCCCAGGAAGACCGTCCCGAACTCTACTAGGTAGACGGGTCCCGAACTCGAGGAGGCCGGTTTCGAACCCCCGCCGGCCGGCCAGCCGCAAGTGACTCACCGACAGCCCGGAGCCTGCGAGCCTGGCCGCGGGCGACACCCGGCACACCTCGCCGTCCCGGAACGGCCAGGCACCCTGGGCTCCTTAGCGAGGCCCGCAGAGAAGGCGCCGCAGGCCGGCGGCGGGAAGCACAGCCGCTCCCTCCTCGGTCGCCCAGGCCGGAGCGACCCGCTGCCGCGCCCGCCGACGGACTTCCTGGAAAGCACCGTGCTGAACTCACCTGCTGGCGTCCGGCCGCCGACCTCCTGCACTGCCCGCAAGGTTTAACCCGCTCGTCTCTGCGCCCACGCTGCGCGGTGCCTCAACTTCTGGGAGTTGCCGAACCCTCCCTCCAGCTGCCCCCCAAACCGGACCGCGCTGTCTGTGTTACTCTACTCGCTCCCTCGTCCCCTCCGATGCGCTTGCGTACTCTTGATGCAGGCTGCATGCTGGGAGTTGTAGTTCGTGGGAGAAGGGCGCGGCTCCACACGGACCTGGTTCTTTACAATGGGAAGGGTTTTACAACAGGGTACAGATACCAGGAGTAGGCTGAGAAAAATGCTCTCTGCTCCTGTACACACCTGCCCGCGACCCTATGGAATCTAGAAAGACAGTCTAGAGGCTTTTTTGGATAGAAGGTTTCTTGAGTAAAAAAACTTAATACGGAGCCAAGCTTGTCTTTATACCCTTGGTAACTAATGCGAGGGCATGATATCAGTTTTTAAACTTGTCGTGGAAGTCAGATAAAAGCGAAGGGACTGGGGATGCAGCTGAATTGATAGAATGTTTAATCAATCAAAGCCCTAGATTTGATCCCAAGCACGGCATAAACTGGTGCATGCCTGTAATCCCAGCACTTGAGACAGAAGGAGGGGAATCAAAAGTTTAAGGTAATCTTCAGCCATCTACATACGGAATTCAAGGCCAGTCGGTGCTACATGAGGGTTTTGTTTTTTAAGACCAACTCAGGGCAGAAAAGGCCATAAGTCACCCCCAGGGGGTCGTGCCTCCATACAAAGAGAGGGGTAAAGTAGAAAAGCAGAAATACATTTCATTAATAAACACACCCTGGAAAGGAACAGACAAAGGGGCCAATAAGCTTTAGGTTTAAGCAGAGGAAGAATTGGGGCGGGGAGCAAGAAGTATGTATAATTGAGCAACACTAGTCATGATGTTTCTTCAAAGTGGTCCAAAGAGTTGCTTTTGTCTGAGGGGACAATGTTCCAGCGTATAGCCTCCCTAAGGATGGGATGCCCTCATCTGGGAGCTCTTCTGACCTGGGATGCTCTGGTGTTCATGGAATCCGAGGTGACTCGGGGGTCTTTGGGGAGTGTTGTGGATTAATCTTTTTGTATACTGTGAAAATGTGTCTCTGCCAAGGCATCTTCTGATTGGTTTGATAAAGAGCTGAATGGCCAATAGCTGGGCAGGAGAGGATAGGCAGGACTTTGGGGCAGAGAGATTGAAGGGGGAGTGATGAAGGAGGCAGGGAATTTGCGGGGGGGGGGAGGTGGGCGGGTTTTGGACATACAGTATGAAGGGCAAGTAATGAGCCACGTGACAGGATCTAGATTAATATAAACGGGTTAACTTAAGTTATAAGAGCTAGTTGTTAACAAGCCTAAGCTAAAGCTAATCTTTCATAATCAATAAGATGTCTCTGTGTCATTATTTGGGAGCTAGGAGTCCAAAGAAAGACTGGGTACAGGGGAGCTGACTATCAGATGTCTCATTTACTTTATTTTTATGTCTTTACCCTTGTAGGGGGATGAGATACCCTTGTAGGATTTTTGGATAGGCATTCCTTGAATGATGAACATGCCTACATGCAGAGGTAACTAGGCAACCCAAAACAGGAAGCAGACACAAAATGAAAGCAGAGATGCTGGGGTTTATCCTGCTTTTAGTTATCTTATGGGCCCAACTGAGGAATCAGTGCCTTTTAACAAGAGCAGTTTCTAACTGCCTGTTAGATGGCAATTACCTCATCATCCTGGTCAGTTTCTGCTCCATCCCATACTCCCATTCCAACTTCATATTCTATGTCAGTCAGTGAGACTGGGCTAATGTGAGAGGAAATGACAGAAGCAGCTGGTCAACGGAGAGAAATAAAGTGGATAGTTTAGGGAGGGAAAGATGAAGAAAGTGGAAACACCTCAGAGGACTTTTTGATAATGTCCTCTGCAATGGTTGTCTCTTGGGCAGGGCTCGGAGGAGATGATCCCTAAGGAGTGTAATGGCACAGACAGGAGTAATGTTCTTTCTGTCTTGTTAACTTTCTGAAAATGCAGCCAGAGCCAGGCAGTGGTAGTGGGTGGTACACACCTTTAGTCCCAGCACTGGGGAAGTAGAGGCAGACTGATCTCTACAAGTTTGAGGCCAACATAGTCTACAAAGTGAAGTTCCAGGACAGCTAAGGTTACACAGAAGAACCCTGTCTTAAAAAAAAAAAAAAAAAAAAAAAAAAAAAAATGCAGCCTAGAAGAGGACTGTGGAGTGCATGCTTGAGGTAAATTCCAGCTACACCCAGAATAGGGAGTCACCCAATGGTTAACCTTCTGGTATCTACTTCTTCCTCTCAGGGCAGGGAGTAGTACCTGTGGTTAAGTAAACACCCTGGAATTTTGTGCAACTGGCACCCATTGCACATTATTGGAAAACTTCTCTGTGTCTCTCTCTTTATCCGTTTCTTTCTTTCTTTTTTTATTTGTTTGTTCATTTGAGACAAGGCTTTCTTATGTAATCTGACTTCCTGAAGCTCACTGTTGGACCAGGCTGGCCCCAAACTTAAAGCAATCTTTTGTCCAAGTACTAGGATTACAGGCCACACCACTGTACCTGGCTATGGTAAATATCCTGTAAATTAAACTATCCAGGAGCTTGTTTCTGAAAGAAATTCCCTACAGTGCTCGGATTCAATTAATATTTATTGACTATCTAACACATAACAAGAAATGTACCAGTATTTGTAATATCTGGCTGTACTTTGAAACAGCTCTACAAAGAGGAAATTAATACCCTCAAGTTTTTTTTTTTTTTTTTCCGAAGCTGAGGACCGAACCCAGGGCCTTGCGCTTGCTAGGCAAGCCCTCTACCACTGAGCTAAATCCCCAACCCCAATACCCTCAAGTTTTAAACATGAAAATAAAAGTAAAGAAGTATTGAGAAAGTTAATTTTTAGAAAGTCAAATGGCCAGTTTCTGATTATAGTTGTACTTTCTCGTCAGACTGCCTGCATGCAAATAATAATGATATGGAGATTTATTATTAATTTTAAAAGGTTGGCCTAGCTTAGGCTTGTTCCTAACTAGCTCTTATAACTTAAATTAACTCTTTTGGTTTTGCAAGACAGGGTTTCTCTGTATTTCTTTGGAACCTGACCTGGAACTCACTCGTAGACCAGGCTGGCCTCGAACTCACAGGGATCTGCCTGCCCCTGCCTCCCGAGTGCTGGTATTAAAGGTGTGCGCCACCAACACCCGGCTCCATATTTTTTTAATGGACTTTCTTCCACAAGGTAAACTCATCTCGGTACTGCCCATCCTGCTTCTTCTGTGTCTGGCTGTCAACCCCACCTTTCTTCTTCCTAGAGCTCTCTCTGCCCGGAAGTCCCACCTATTTATTCTCTCCTGCCTAACTATTGGCTGTTAAGCCTTTCATTACACCAATCACAGCAACACATCATCACAGTGTACAAATATCCCATGACAACTGGTTGTAAATCCAGAAATGAAGCATATTCTCACTCAGCTCCTAGCCTACTTTCTAACTGCTGATTAGACTGACATGCTTCCTAGATCTCACCAAATTCTTTGAAATATGATAACCCGTGGCCAGGCTCAGAGAATATGAAGAAACTCCTCCAAAACATTGCAGAAGAGACTGTTTTGAATGGATAATTTGGATTCTTTGACAGCTTATGTGATAATTTAAAAAAAAAAAAAAAAACCTCAAAACCAAAACCTGATTTACTATTGATGTATATGTATGTGTGCCTTCATGTGTTCATGTATACCATGTGTGCACAGGTGCCTCATGAAGGCCTGAAGAGGATATTGGATTCCCCTCAAACTGGAGTTACAGGCACTTGGGAGCAGCCAAACATGGGTGCTAGGAACTGGGCACATAGTGTGCAAGAGTAATATATGCTTTTAACTGTTGAAGCCATCTTTCTAGGCTGCTTTGTGTGTCTTTTTTTTTTTTTTTTTAAAGAAGGTTTCATGTAGCACAGGCTGGCCTCGAATTCATTATATAGCTGAGGCTGGCCTTAAACTCTTTCTCCTTCTGCTTGTACTTCCAAGACCCTGGAATTACCAGCATGCACCACACACCTGGCTCCTTTGACACTTTTGTATTCACTCTACATTAATACCCTGGTGTATTCCAACCTGAGAAAAGACGATGGCTCTCTCTTTCCGCTGTTTTAGGGATTTAACTCAGGTCATCAGTCTTGGGGCTCTCTGTCCACAGTGAGCTCCAGGGCAGGCACCAATGGGGCTGGAGGGCTGGAGGGCTGGAGGGCTGGAGGAGGGCTGGAGGGCGGCTGGAGGAGGGCTGGAGGGCTGGAGGGCTGGAGGGCTGGAGGAGGGCTGGAGGGCTGGAGGGCTGGAGGAGGGCTGGAGGAGGGCTGGAGGAGGGCTGGAGGAGGGCTGGAGGGCTGGAGGGCTGGAGAAGAGGTTTAGTAGTTAAGAGCATTTTCTGCTCTCCCAGAAACTCAATGCCCTTTTCTTGCCTCCACAGGCACTTGTGCACACACTCAGGCATACATACATACATATAAATAACCATTTTTCTTTTTCTTTTTTAAAGATGGTACCCAATTAGTGTCCCTTGACTTTCACATACACCCCCCCCACACACACACACACATAAATAAGGGCAGAGTATGGTTCTTACTAGTTTTCTGGGCTTGGTTAGAGTGAAAGTGATTGAAAAAAATGACACTCCAATTCTACTCAATGCATTGGAGGCCTTCATTAGTGTTTATCTTTATGCCTCCAGCCAAAGCAACTCATAAAGCCTGTGTCACACTGAGTCATCATAGGCAAATTAATACCAGTGGCAATTTGCTCCTTATCAAAAGATTCCTTTAGGAAATAGCTTCCCTTAAATACTTAAGCAGTTTTTAAAACATAATTTGCAAGACAGCTATGAAACCTTGGAACTAT